CCGGGGCAGGGGAAGGCAGCCCCTGCAGCCCCACGTGCAGCTGGACGAGCGCGGCTTCCAGCGCGGGGACTTCTCACTGTGGTTGCGCCCAGCCCGGCTCACCGACGCCGGCGAGTACCGCGCCGCCGTGCGCCTCCGGGACCGCGCCCTCTCCTGCCGCCTCCGACTCCGTGTGGGCCAGGCCTCGAGTAGGTGGGGGCTGGACGAGGGGAGAGGGGCTGGAGGAAGGGCTCCCCCATCCCCCCGTCCTGAAGCCAGGAAGGGCTGGGATAGAGACTGCACCCTAGGCCCTGCCTGAGAGCCCCCACAGTAGAGGAAGGGGGCAGGGAGCCTGACGGCGGAGAGGGTGCCCCTAGAACAGCCCGCTATGGAGAGATCGTATCACCTCTTGGACTCCCCTTTGCACACCCACTGCGGGAGTGCCGCGGTGGAGGTGGGGAGGCACGTTTTCAGGGGGGAGGGGTGGTGCAGGGCTATGGTGATTAATTTCTGACATCTGTAGCTCAGGGCTAGGCTTAATGGGATCCTCAGGCAGGCAGTGGAGAATCCAGGGTAGACGGTGCCCAGGAAGGTAGCCTGGGACCCTTGGGGATCTTCTTGAAGCACCTCCGGGTGCCAGGCACTCGTGTAGTGGCAGGCTGGGGAGGGATTTATAGCAAGGTCCCTTTTTCTGGGCGCTCCCAGCTTGGCCTGCTGTACTGGAGTGCTTGGTGGGGCTGATCAGGCCTTCTTTTCCTGCAGTGACTGCCAGCCCCCCAGGCCCTCTCAGGATCTCCGACTGGGTCGTTTTGAACTGCTCTTTCAGCCGCCCAGAGGGGCCAGCGTCTGTGCAATGGTTCAGGGGCCAAGGCCGAGTCCCTGTCCAGGAGTCCCCTCATCACCACTTGACCGAAAGCTTTCTCTTCCTGCCCCGAGTCAGTGTGTTGGACTCGGGGCCCTGGGGCTGTACCATCACTTACAGAGATGGCTTCAATATCTCCATCACCTACAACCTCACTGTTCTGGGTAACTCCTCCGGTCTGCCTTCCCACTTGACCACAACCCCTTCCTGTCCCCCCTGTCACCTCCCCTGACTTGTGAGTTCCCAGGGGGGACCAGATTCTCTGCCTCTGTGCCACCTGTGATTGCTCTGGGCCCCACTGTCCCACTCCTTTCTCTGCAGCAGGTTTCAGCTGCCTTCTCCCCTGCTGGCTTTTACCTGGGTCATCCAGCCTGCAGCCTTTGGTGCTGCTGTGTGTCAGGGTGTCCCAGTCCGTCTACCTGCTTCTGCTCCTGAGCACTCTTCCAAGCCAGACCAGCCCCTTCACTCTTCTGTCTCCCTTCCCGGCAGTCCCAGCAGTCAACCACAGCACACGTACCCCTCAGCTTTAACTCTGGATTCCCCTGTCTCTCCAGGTCTGGAGCCCCGAGTCCCCCTGACGGTGTATGCTGGAGCAGGCTCCAGGGCAGAGCTGCCCTGCCACCTCCCTCCTGATATGGCGAGCCCTGCTTCCCTGAGCGCCAGGTGGGCCCTGCCTGGGGGAAGCCCTGACCTCCTGGTGGCTGGAGACAAGGGCAACTTTACCCTTCTACTAGAGGCTGTGAGCCAGGCCCAGGCTGGGACCTACACCTGCCACGTCCGTCTGCAGGGCCAGCAGCTCAGTGCCACCGTCACTTTGGCAGTTATCACAGGTCAGCCCCAGGTGGGGAAGGAGGAGCTCCCGACCCCAGGAGCAAGGACAGGGCGGAAGGGCAACGGGGCAAAGACTGGGCATACTCACCCCTGATGCCAAGCCACTGGGCACAAGTTCTAGAGGGTGCCCTTGGTGGCTTCTCTTCTCGCCCCCTTATAAAGAATCGAAACTGAAAATCTCCCCTGAGTCATGATATAAATGTTCCACTTTTCTCTAAGGGACTCCCCTGCTCTGAATTGGCGGGAGGGTCTGAGAGGTTAACAAGAGAGGTGGCTGGGGCCAGCAGGTGGCGTAGTGGTTAAGGTGCTGGACTCCAACATGGTCAACTGCAATTCAAGTCCCGGACCCAGTGGCTTGAAACTCAGGCGAATGCGTGTGCGTGTATGCCCAAAACCCTGAGAGGAGAGTGGAGGAGAAGGGACTGTGGTGTGGCCATTCCCCCCACTGGGGGATGATTTCTCGCTTTCTGTCTCTCTCTGGTGAGTGTACATGCCCTATAGCAAAAAAAAACAAAAACAAAAACAAAAACAAAAAAAACCTCTTAAAAAAAAAAAGTGAGAGAGAGAGAGGTGGCAGGCCAGCATTTGACATGGGTGATTAAGGTGCTGGACTCCCACATGACTGACAGCAGTTGAGTTCTAGGCCCTTGGCTTGAAAATCACACGGGACACGTGTTCATGCATGCCCAGAATCCCAAGAGAAGGGATTGTGGCATGACCATCCACCCTAGGAGGTGATTTCTCACTTTCTCTCTCTCTGTCTCTGTCTCTGGTGGACACATGCTACCTATGACGAAAAAAATCTTAAAAAAGGAGAGCGAGTTGACAAAAGTGTGAACAGTTCCAAAGAAGTGGACATGCTGGCCTGGCAGCTCAGGGTTAAGTGAGGCACAGAGGAAACTGGATCCCATTTAACGGGCCAGGGTTCGTGTCACAGCCCAGCAGCCTATATGCCAGGTGCAGGATCCCGACAGGATGGAGAACCAGAGAAAGGATTGCCAGGTGACCCCGCCCTGTCGCTTTCCTCTTCCTTTCTCATCTCCCTCTCTCTCTCTTGTGTGCAAGCACACACTCCCCGTCATAATAAAAAGAAAACAACATTTTTTTAAGAGGTAGAATATATTTCTAGAATCCTCGTCCACTTTGGGGCCAGGACTTGGGTTACAGTTGCAGGAAATGGCCTGGATGTGGGAGGAGTTTAAAAATCAGTCCGTTGGTCAGCAAATATTTACTGAGCAAGGGTTCTCCAAGACAGTGTAACACAAACACACACACACACACCAACACACAAAAAACCCAGAAAGTCTGTGTCAATTGACTGTGACGGTCAGTTATGACAGATTAGCTACGTCTGCAGTACTTACCTATAACCACTAAATGTAGCACCACATAGTAGGTGCTTAATAACAGACAGCGGTGGGGGCCAGCAGGTGGTGTGAGGATAAGGTGCTGGACTCCCATTGGCTGACTGTGGCTTGAGCCCTCGAACCTGGCAGCTTGCTTTCTTACTTTCCCTCTCTATCTCTCTGGTGAGCACGTGTGTCCTATATAAAAAAATAATAATAATGAATACAATTAAATAAGTCATTCTTTTTTTTTTTTTTTTTTTGGAGAGATTTTCACTGTAGGGCGCGTGCGCTCGCCAGACAGAGAGAGACATAGAGACAGAAAGCGAGAAATCACCCCCCAGGGGGGATGGTCACGCCGCAATCCCTTCTCCTCCATTCTCCTCTCGGGATCTTGGGCACGCACGCACACACGCCCGACGTGAGTTTTAAGCCACCGGGTCCGGGACACGAACCGCGGTCGACTACGTGGGAGTCCAGCGACATAGCCATTATGCTAACTGCTGGTTCCCAATAAGTAATTCTTTTTAAAAATAATTATTTTAACTTTATTCTTTTTAAAAAAAATTTTTTGAGAGGTTTTTGCTATAGGGTGCATGTGCTCACCAGAAAGACAGGGAGAGATAGAAAGCGAGAAATCACCCCGTTGGGGGGATGGCCACACTGCAATTCCTTCTCCTCCATTCTCCTCTCAGGATCTTGGGCACGCACGCACACGCGCCTGGTGTGAGTTTAAGCCACTGGGTCCAGGACTTGAACTGCGGTCAACTACATGGGAGTCCAGCGATGTAGCCATTATGCCATCTGCTGTTCCCTGTTTATTCATTTGTTTTAATTTGACCAGGGAAGGACAGAGTGGGGGGGGGAGGGAGAGGGAGAGGGAGAAGGAGAGGGAGAGAGAAAGTGAGAAAGCAAGCTGCCAGGTCTGGGACTTGAACCATGGTTGGCTATGTGGGTGTCCAGCACCTTAACCACCACGCCACCTGTGGGTCCCAATAAATAGTTCTTAAAAAGTATATTGGTTGAGTGAATAAATAAATAAGCTAACAAACAGAACACCCCCTGAGGACCGATCCTGAATTTTCACCTGCTTTTTAGGGTGAAAATTAATTTCTGCCTAGATATTATACCCACCCTTCAGCCTCACTCTGAACCCCACCTTCCCCCTACTCCAATCCTCGTGTGGACTCAGGCTGTCAGTAACCCTACTGGTGTCCACTTACCCCGAAGCCTTCCCTCACGCCAGTCACCAAGGCCACCTGCTCCGTCCGGCGTCTTCTTGAGGACAACTGGCTTTTGCACAGAGGTTTGATGGGAGAACGTTTGTTACCTGCTGTACAGAGAAGCACCTTTCTCAGCGTCACCCTGTCACGTAGCTGGGGAGTGCTAATCTCAAGGCTAACCTCAGGTGCCTGTGTTACCAAATCTTCCCTCTCAGGCTCAGGCAGATCAAGGCCCTGCACAACCGTGTCCTTCTACCCACCCTGTCTCGCTGTCCAGTCTAGAGAGTGCTCTGTCTCTGGGGACCGTGGGTCAGTTCCCTGTCCTCTGAACATTCAGAAAGGGGGACAGAGTTCACTCAGGGGACGCCACGAGGCAGGGGAGCTGATGTGGGCCAGGTGGGAAAAGTGCGAGGTGTATGGGTGCCAACGCCCAACGGATACTGAGGGCCCTGAGCATCTGAGTAGAAAGTGGTGAGAAAGTCACCCCTTGTGGGGCCCACAGGTGGCGTGGTGGTTGAGGGTGCTGGACTCCCACATGGCCGACTGCGGTTCAAGTCCCAGACCTGGTGGCTCGGTTTCTCAATTTCTCTCTTTCTCTCTCACTCTGGTCAAAATTTAAAAATAAATAAATAAATGGAAAAAATAAAAAAAGAAAAGAAAGTCACCCATTGCATGTGTGTGCATGCCCCAAATCCTGATAGGATGGGGAAACGGAGGGAGAGAGATGCCGCATGACCACACGCTGTTGAGAGGTGCTTTCTTCCTCTCTCTTTCTCACAAGGGCACATGCATTCTGGCAATTAAAAAAATAATAACTAAAGAAAAAAAATGAAAAGAAAGGGGTGTAAAAGAACCTGGAATAGTATTTCTTTCTCTTTTTTAATCCACTTTTACTGTAGGTGCTCATTAGAGAGGCCGAGGGATAGAGAGAAGGAAAGTGAGAAATCACCCCCCACGATGTCTGCTGGTCCCAAATAAATAATTCTTTGAGAAATTATTTATTTAATTTCACCTATTTATTTTTAAAAGAATTATTTTGGGACCAGCAGTTTCCATAATGGCTATGTCGCTGAACTCCCATGTAGTTGACTGCGGTTTGAGTCCTGGACCCGGTGGCTTAAACTCACGCTGGGCGCGTGTGCATGTATGCCCAAGATACTGCAAGACCCTGAGAGGAGAATGGAGGAGAAGGAATTGTGGCGTGGCCATCCCCCCGGGGGTTAATTTCTCACTTTCTGTCTCTCTGTCTCTCTCTGTCTTTCTGGCAAGCGCATGCGCTCTATAGCAAAAGCTTCTCCAAAAAAAAAGAATTTATTTATTTATTATGTATTATTTTTCCCATATTAATTTTGCCAGAGAAGTAGACAGAGAGAAGGGGAGAGTGAGAAAGCAAGCCACTAAATCTGGGACTCGAACTATGGTTGGCCATGTGGGAGTTCCAGTGCCTTAACCACCATGTCACCTGCTAGCTCCAATTTCACTTATCATTTTTACTTTTTTTTTCTGAGGAAGGGTTGAGATTTTTGCTTATAGGGCACATGCGCTCTCTGGAGAGTCAGAGAGAAAGTTAAAATCGCCCCCAGCAGGGAGATGGCCACGCTGCAATCCCTTCTCCATTCTCTTGGGATCTGGGGTATGTACGTACACCCACCCAGCATGATTTTCAAGCTGCCTGGTCTGAGACTCGAACCCTGGTTGACCATGTGAGAGTCCAGTGCCTTTAACTGCCACACCACCTGTTGTCCCCTGAATTAGTATTTCTGGCCCTCTAGGATCAGTCTGAGTTTGTACAATGTCCTAGAGAACAATAAGGAGCCGGGAAAGCTTAAGCAGGGGTGTGATTTCTAGTGTGGGTGAACGTGCTCGCCAGAGAGAGACAGGTAATGATAGGGAAACTGAGAAATCACTCCCTAGGGGAATGGCCACACTGCAATCCCGTCTCCTCCATTCTTCCCCTGGGATTTTGGGCATGCACACACATGTGCCCAGAGTGGCCTGTCAAGCCATCTGGTCTGGGACTTGAACTGAAGTTGGCCATATAGGAGTCTAGCATCTTAACCACTCCGCCACCTGCTGGCCCCAGCAGGGGAGTGATTGGCCAGAACATTGCCTTGCTATAATTAATTTGGCCTTGACCCTGGCTGTCCTCCCTTCAACCCCACTCTGTCAGAACCCAGGTAAAGTGGGGGAATTGAGACTTCAGATTGAATGCATGATGTGGGGTGAGGAGGCTGGGACCCCAAAAGATTTCTTCCCTCTGATTTTTTTTCAGTGACTCCAAAATCTTTGGGGTTACCCAGCTCCCTGGGGAAACTGCTTTGTGAGGTGACTCCAGCATCTGGACAAGAGCACTTTGTGTGGGGACCCCTGGATGACAGCTCCTGGAGGCGTTCCCCGGGACCCTGGCTGGAGATGCACAAGTCCAGGCTTCGTTCCCAGCCTTGGCAGTGCCAGCTGTACAAGGGAGAGAGGCTTCTCGGAGCGGCCGTGTACCTCCCAGAGCTGTCCAGCCCAGGTCTGAGGCCCTGGGTGCTGTGGCCCCAACTCCAGAGTGGTCACCTTGATCTCCCGGACCTGCCCCCAAATCCCAGCTCTTTCCACAGACCTGGCCTCAGGTTCTCTGCACCTGACCCACTTCTGCCAGTAATGGCTGAGTACCCCCGCACAGGTCCCCAAAACTCTCCAGCCCCGGCAGCCGCCCGCACCGTGCGAGGGAGTGGTGGCTGTCCTTGCCAGCCTGACCCCGTGCCCACTCCTGTCTTTCTCCTCCACAGGTGCCCAGCGCTTGGGGAGAGCCCCAGGTGCCCTCAGAGCAGGCCACAACACTGTCTTTGTCGTCCTTGGTGTCCTCTCCCTGCTCCTTCTGGTGACCGGAGCCCTTGGTGTTCACCTTTGGAGAAGACGGGTGAGCCAGGGCCGCCCCCTCCCCAAGGGTTCCCCCTCCTCAATCCTTACAGTGTCCTCTGGGCCTCTTCCTCAGGGAAGCTGACCATGGTGGGCCTCGAACTTGCCTCCAGGCCCCCCCGCCCCCCATTTTCTCAAGCTTCTGCACTCCAGGGACTCTTTGGGTCCGGGGAGGCTTGAAAGGGCTAAGAGGAGGGCCAGGGCCAGATGAGGAGGGCACCGGGCTGGGAAGAAACGGATGGACTCTGCCCTTCCTAGTCCTCCCTCACCCTCCTCCTCCCACCCTCCACCCCCCTCTCCTCTTCCCACAGTGGCGACCCAGAAGATTTTCTGCCTTAGAGCATGGGATTGACCCTCCTCAGGCTCAGGGCAAGATAGAGGAGCTGGAGCAAGGACTGGAGTTGGAGTCGGAGTGGGAGCTGGGGACAGGGCCAGAGCCGGAGCCGGGGCCCGAGCTAGAGCCGGATCCGGAGCGGGAGCCGGGGCCAGAGCCGGAGCCGGGGCCAGAGCCGGAGCAGCTCTGACCTGGAGCAGCTGGGACCTGCAGCCAGGCAGCCCTCAGGCAGATCTCACAGCTCAGTCCAATAAACTCCCTGTCAGCAGCAAGCTCGAGTCTGGCACTTTCCTGTCCAGCGCCGGTTCCAGTCTCTCCCCAGCCTCCTAACCTACTTCCTCCCCGGGGCTCCCAGGTCTTCCCCATCTCTGCTTCTGGCCTCTTCTGGTTTCTTCCTTGGTCTCTTTTCTACACCCTCTGCCTCCCTCCCTCCTGAGTAATCCGTTTTTCTGAAGCTCCAAACAGATTTCGCCCCTTGCCCCTTCCGCCCTCTTCTCCATCCTTCCATCCACGTGGTACTGGCTGCCCTGATTTCCTTGATATTTCCGGCCCCTGGCCCACCCACCCCAGCTCCTGCACTGCTGCACTCGCCCTTGGCCCGGCTGCAGCGGGTGCGCATGCACCGAGTCGCTGCACTTCAGGGCAGCTGGCTGAGGGCCCGGCCGGCCCCTGCCCCACCCCCATCGGGCTTCAGCCCTGGGCGGCTTCTCCGGTCCCAGGCATGAGAACACACTGCCACCCAGTGGTCACTGCTTGTCACACCCCAGCAGAGGTCACGGCGGTGGCTGGCCTGAGGTGTCACACCGCAGTGGACACGGTGGAGGACAGACCGCTGCGCGTGCGGCGCTGCCGCTGTGCCGTGCACGCTCCGTGTGCAGCGTACGAGTCACATGTCCTGTGCACCCCGCAGCAGAGGGCTGAACAACGCCTGCCTCGGAGATGCCGCCGCGGCCGGCCAAGGTTACCATCCAGTCTGACAAAGGCATGGGCGGTGAACAAAGGCTGCACGCGGGGGGAAGACAGACCGCGGGCTGGCAGAGGCTGCCTGCGGCCGCAGCTTGGGAGCAGCAGCCTGGTGTCCCAGGCCAGCGCGGCTGATGTGACGGCGTCTCTCTGAGCCTCAGTTTCCTTACCTATTAAATGGGATCATGCCAGGAGTCCTCCAAAAATGGCTTGTTGTGAATGCAATATAATAAAAGGGCTTGGGGTCAGCAGGTGACAGGGTGGTTAAGGCGCTAGACTCCCACATGGTCGACTGTGGTTTGAGCCCCGGACCTGGTGGCTCACTTTCTCTGGTCAAACTGAAGATGAATAATAACAAATATAGAACTTTTTTCAAAGAATTACTTATTTGATCTTATTTGTTATTATTAGTTAGTTTGCGACAGGGCATGTATGCTCAACAGAGAGAGAGTGAGAGAAGTGAGAAAGCAAACCACCACAGGTCTGGGACTCGAACCACAGTTGGCCATGTGGGAGTCCAGTGCTGCAACCATCACGCCATCTGCCAGCCTCTGAAAAAAGTTCTTTTTTTACAGAAAGATTTTTACTATTTTTTTTAAGAGAGATTTTTGCTATAGGGTGTGTGCACTTGCTGGAGCCACAGAGACAGAGAGACAGAGACAGAGAGCAGGAAATCCGTTCCCGGGGGCCACACCACAATCCCTTGTCCTCCATTCTCCCCTGGGGATTTTAGACACACACACACACACACACACACACACACACACACGTGCCTGGTGTGAGGTGGAGTCCAGTGATGTAACCATTATACCATCTGTTGGTCCTGAAGAAGGTTTTTTAAAAAGATCTTTGAGAACTGCGGAGCACCCCCATGCTTATGGCATGTGTCTGACTTTCCACCAGTAAGGAGAAAGTCCTGCTCCGTCTCGCGGGTACCGCGGGGAAGGCCCCCACGCCCACGCGAGCGCCCTCTGTCTCCCCTGCACACAGTGCTCCTCGGGCCACGCCGATGCACACGTGGTCTCAGCCCACTGGACTCTCAAGTCTGGTCTAGGACCAAGACGATTTTTGTTTAAATTAGTTTTTATTTAACTTTATTTGTTTATTTAAATTTGACCAGAGAGAGAAGGAAAGAAAGCAAGCTGCCAGGTCTGAGACTTGAGCCAGGTTGGCCACGTGGGAGTCCAACACCTTATCCACCACACCCCTTGCCGGCCCCTATGAGACTTCTGCCTGTAGCAGGCATGGCCCCGGCTTCGTTGGCCTCAGCATGAGGGAGCTTCAGCCCTATTAGAGAACCTGCGGGGCAGGCGGCTATGGTGGCATCCACACACACTGTGGCAAACGCCTGCCACTGCCCCACGGAGCCTGTGTGCCACACGCAAAGTGACACAAAGACACAAAGACAGACCATGAGGCTGAAGACCTGTCCATGTGGAGACACAAAGGCCAGAGACATGGGCCTAGAGAGTGGGGAAGGGCCCCGTTTGTAGGGAAGAAGCAGTGGCATGGAAAGGTGGAAGCTCTGGCACGTGTGGGACAATTGCACCACAGTGAAATCCTCCAGTCCTCCTTAAAAACCTCCAAGCTGGGACCAGCAGTTAGCGCAATGGCTATGTCGCTGGACTCCCATGTAGTCGATGGTGGCTTAAACTCACAATCCACGCCGCGCACGTGTGTGTGCATGCCCAAGATCCCAAGAGGAGAATGGAGAAGGGATTGTGGCTTGGCCATCCCCCCAGGGGGGGGATTTCTCGCTTTCTGTCTGTCTCTCTCTGTCTGTCTGGTGAGTGCACAGGCCCCATAGCAAAAACCTCTCCAAAAAAAAAACCAAAAACCTCCAAGCTGAGTCAGCAGAGGGTGTGGGGGTTAAGGGGTTAAGGTGCTTGGTTCTCACATGGCAGACTGCACAGTTCAAGTCCTGGACCAGGGGGCTTGAAAAACATGCCAGGCGTGTGTGTGTGTGTGTGTGTGTGTGTGTGTCCAAAATCCAAAAGGGACTGGAGGAGAAGGGGTTGTAGCATGGTCATCCCCCTTGCGGGGTGATTTCTCACTTTCCCGCTCTGTCTCTCTGGTGAGTGCATGCACCCTATAGCAAAAATAGTTGCTAAGGTGGCTGGATCCCAATGGCAGATTGCGTGTTTCGAGTCCTGGACCCAGCAGCTTTAAAAATACACCAGGTGGGACCTGCAGTTAGTGTAATGGCTATGTCACTGGACTCACACGTAGTCGACTGAGGTTCGAGTCCCGGACCTGGTGGCTTAAACTCACACCAGGCGCATGTGCGTGCGTGCCCAAGATCCTGAGAGGAGAATGGAGGAGAAGGGATTGCAGTGTGGCCATCCCCCTGGGGGGTGGTTTCTCGCTTTCTGTCTCTCTCTCTCTGTCTGTCTGGCGAGCGCACGCGCCCTATAGCAAAAAACTCTCTGAAAAAAAAGAAAAAAAATATACCGTGTGTGTGTGCGTGTGTGCCTAAAGTCCTGAGGGAGAAGGGACCGTGGCCAGGCCATTCTACCTGGGGGGTGGTGTCGCACTTTGCCTCTGTGTACCTCTCTCTGGCAAGACGTCCCCTCTGCAGTCAAGACAAACACACACCTGCAAAGCATCGTTCTCACTCTTCGCTGGGGGGGTGGAGACAGCTACTGAGGAGACCTCTGGGCTTGGCCCAGCACTCTGCTCTCCATGGCTTAGTCAAAGCCCCATGTTTTATTAGGGCAAGGGGTTCCTGGAAAGTTCCGTGGGTGGCATTTTCCCTTCCTACTAGATAACACTATGCCCTCTGGGTTTGTGAGAGTAGGCATTGAAGAGTCGCTCAGCCTAGACAGGGACTTCCCCCTGCTCTTTTACAAAGGGGATTTGGAGGGCTCAGAGGCAGAGTGAAGAGACACCTGTTCCTCCACCCCAGAGAAGAAAGGAGCAAAGGGCGGCAGGGAGGAGGGCATGAGGGCTTTTCTGTGGTCTTGCCTGCTCCACCCTTCTCCATAAAATGGAGAGTGGCCTCCAGCCCTTCTCCTGCCTCCTGATGCCCTCAGGAACCAGGTTAATTGAGCATTTCCAGATTTCATTCCCCCCCCCAAAAAAAAAATTGTATTTATTATTAGTTTAAATTTGACCAGAGAGAGAAAGTGAGAAAGCAAGCTGCCAGACCTGGGCCTTGAACCAAGGTCGGCCATGTGGAAGTCCAGTGTCTTAACCACCACACCACCTGTCGGCCCCTCTAGCTTTCATTTGTAAGCCAGTGCTCCAGGCAGCATTCTGGGAGGGCAGGAGCAATGGAAGGCCTCAACGTGGTGGGGGTGGGTAGCATCTCAGTTTGTCCTTAAGAAGGAAGGGGGTGAATAAGCCAGTTGGCGGTACGGTGGTTAGGGCACTGGACTCCCACATGGCTGATGGTGGTTTGAGTCTTGGAACTGGAGGCTTGAAAATCATGCCATGTGCATGGGTGTGGATACACAAAATCCCCAGAGGAGAACAGAGGAGGAGGGATTGCAGTGTGGCCATCCCCTCTGGGGGTGATTTCTCACTTTCCTTCTCTCTGGCAAGCGCTAGAGCCCTATGGCAAAAACCTAAAAGAAGGGGATGTACTGGTTATCTATGTTGCCTAACAAGTCATCTCAAAATTTAGTAATGTAAGGGACCAGCAGGTGTGGTGGTGGTTAAAGGCACTGGACTTCCACATGACTGACTACAGTTCAAGTCCTGGACCAGGCGGCCTGAAACTCATGCCAAGTGTGTGTGTGTGTGTGTGTGTGTGTGTGTGTGCTCAGAATCCCAGGGGAAGAAGAAGGGATTGCGGTGTAGTCATCACTCCTATGAGACTCACTGTCTCTCTAGCGAGTGCACGTGCTCTGTAATAAAAACCTCTCTTAAAACAAACAACCCCTCCAAAAAAAACTTAGTAATTTAAAATAATGAGCCACCCTGAAATGGTGCAGGCAGCTTGATCCCAGAGCCATGCGGGAAGGCCTAGGGCTCAGATTCTGGATTAATAAACATACCAGGTTATCCATGACCCTGCCTGGGGGGCCACAGGGATGACTGCGCCACAGCGAGATCCTGTTGAGAGTCCTCATCTCTTTGTCTCTGTATCTGTCTGAATTGCTTTCTCTCTTCAGATAAACACAAATCAATTTTGAAAACAACATTTCTCATGTGGAGAGTTCATAAGAAAATAGGCAAGCAAGGGTTGATGAAAGAGGGCCAGGACCAGCAGTTGGCATAATGGCTATGTTGGTGGGCTCCCACGTAGTCGACTGTGGTTTGAGTCCCAGACCCGGTGGCTTAAACTCACGCCAGGCGCGTGTGCGTGCGTGCCCAAGATCCCGAGAGGAGAATGGAGGAGAAGGGATTGCGGCATGACCATCCTCCTTGGGGGGTGATTTCTCGCTTTCTGTCTCTGTCTCTCTCTGTCCTTCTGGCGAGCGCACGCGCCCTCTAGCACAAATCTCTCTAAAGAAAAGATAAAAGAGGGTCTACAGGGCTGACAGGTGGCGTGGTGGTTGAGGGACATGGCCAAATATGATTCGAGTCCTGGACCCGGCCGCTTGCTTTTTCACTTTCTCTCTCACACACACTCTATCCCTCTCTGGTCAAATTTAAATAAATAAATAAATAAAGTTAAATAAAATAATTCTTAAAAAGAAAGAAAAGAGACTTACCTAAAGGTTAATGAAAGGACCCTTGTGGGGCCAGCAGGTGGCGTGGTGGTTAAGGGTACTGAATTCCCACATAGCCAAATGTGGTTCGAATCTTGGACTGAGTAGCTTGCTTTCTCTCTCTCTCTCTCTGGTCAATTTGAAAAATAATGATAATAAACAAATGATTTTCTTATTCGCTATGTTATCTTTTTACTTTCTCTTTTTTTTTTTTAGAGGTTTTTGCTATAGGGCACGTGTGCTCAGAAAGAGAGAGACAGAAAGCGAGAAATCACCCCCCAGGGGGGATGGTCACACCACAATCCCTTCTCCTCCATTCTCCTCTCGGGATCTTGGGCACGCACGCACACGCGCCTGGTGTGAGTTTTAAGCCACCGCGTCCAGGACTCAGACCGCGGTCCAATACATGGAGTCCAGTGACATAGCCATTACGCTAACTGCTAGTCCCAATAAACAAATGATTTTTTTAAAAAAGAAAGGACCTGAGATAAAGCCCCAGCAATAAGCTTTATTTTTTTTAGAATTATTTATTTAATTTTATTTATTCATTTGAGACAGACAGAGAGAGAGAGAGAGAGAAAGGAGAGAGAGGGAAAGTAAGAAAGTAAGCCATCAGGTCCAGGACTCGAACCGTGGTTGGCCAAGTGGGAGTGTCCAGTACCTTAACCACCACGCCACCTGCTGGTCCCCCTATTTCCAGAAATAAGCTTTTCAACACAGGAAACAGATATTATAGACCCACTCTGGTGCCACCTCCAGCGATTGGTTAATGCTCTATGTTCTTGAGAAACAACCAACTCCCCATCTGGACCAAGCTTGTAGTGTTCATTACCTCCACCTACAGTTAAGGCTTTAAGAGGAGGACCTTGGACCGGCAGGTGGTGTGGTGGTTAAAGTGCTGGACTCCCACATGGTCAACGGCAGTTCGAGCCTTGGACCTGGCAGCTTGCTTTCCCACTTTCTCTCGCTCTCTTGCTGTCTCTTTCTGCTCAAATTAAAAATAACAATAACAATGATAAATAAGAGTCAATAATATTAAGGGACCAGCAGTTGGCATAATGGCTATGTTGCTGGACTCTGATGCAGTCGACCACAGTTCGAGTCCTGGACCTGGTGGCTGAAACTCACACTGGGCGCGTGTGTGTGCATGCGTGCCCAAGATCCCGAGAGGAGAATGGAGGAGAAGGGATTGCAGTGTGGCCATCCCCCCTGGGAGGTGATTTCTTGCTTTCTGTCTCTCTGTCTCTTACTGTCTTTCTGACGAGCGTATGCGCCCTATACCAAAACCTCCCCCAAATAAAGAGTAAATAAAAATGTTTAAAAAGAGAGATCCTCAGCAGATCAGCAGGTGGCTTGGTGGTTAAGGGTGCTGAGTGTCATATGGCCAACTCCTCTATTCAAGTCCCTGACCTGGTAGTCTGCATGTGTGTGCTTGTCCAAAGTCCAAAGAAGAAAGGGGCCAGCAGGTGGCATGGTGGTTAAGGTGCTGGACTCCCACATGACTGATCACAGTTCAAGTCCCGGACCTGGTAGCTTAAAAATCACAGTCGGTGATTGTGTGTGTGTGTGCCCAAAATCCCAAGAAGAGAAGGGATCACTTCATGGCCATTTCCCCTGACGGATGATTTCTCACTTTCTGTCTCTCTCCAATGCTTCTCCGAGGGACTTTGAAATGTATGCTACGGGGTCTAGCAGGTGGCGTGGTGGTTAAGGCACTGGACTCCCGCATGGCCAAGCACGTTTTGAGTCAGACCTGGTGGCTTGCTTTCTCACCTTCCCTCTCTCTTTCTCTGGTGGGTGCACATGCCCTATAGCAAATTAAAAAAAAAATTAAATTAATATTTTGTTAGAAATAGACTTTACTATTGGGGACAGCAGATGGCATAGCAGTTACATTGCTGGACACACACATGGCTAACCACGGTTCAAGTCCTGGAACTGACGGCTTGAAAATACACCAGGCACATATGCGTGTGCGCCCAAGATCCCGGGAGGAGAATGGAGAAGGGATTGTGGCATGGCCAGCCCCCCTGGGGGTGATTTCTCATTATCTCTCTCACTTTCTCTGTCTCTCTCTATGGCGAGTGCATGCACTAAGGTAAAAACCTTAGTTTCGAGCCAGGTCCAAGGCTCAAACTACACACACAAAAAAGAAATATATGCTATTTTTTTTTAGAGTTTTTTTTTTTTTTTTTGCTATTGGGCGCTTGCGCTCACCAGAAAGACAGAGAGAGAGATAGAGAGACAGAAAGCGAGAAATCACCCTCCAGGAGGGATAACCACGCCGCAATCCCTTCTCCTCCATTCTCCTCTTGGGATCTTGGGCACGCACGCACACGCACCCGGTGTGAGTTTAAGCCACCGGGTCTGGGACCATGGTTGGTGGTTGGCCACATGGGAGTCCAGCGACATAGCCATTACGCTAACTGCTGGTCCTGAAATATGCTCTATTATTAACTATCGTCACCTTGCTGTGCAATAGAGCACCAGCATTATGACTCTTACCTAGCTTTAACTGTTCTTTTTCCTCATTTACTTATTTATTTGTTTGTTGTCATTTTCAGGTTGCCGGGTCCAGAACTTGAACCACAGTCAGCCCTGTGGAAGTCTGGTGCCTCCACCACCATACTACCTGCCGGCTCCCTGGCTTTAAGTTTGCCCCCGTTAAGCAACCTCTCCCCTTCAGCCGCCACAACCTTTGGTGACCACCACACTACGCTCTACGTCCATGAGTGGCACGTTCAGACTCCACTTAGACGTGGGGTCATACCGTATTTGTCTCTGTCTGGATAATTCAACTTCACGCGAGGTCTTCTAGGTTTATCCATGTTGCCAGAAATGACAGAGTTTTTGTTGTTGTTTACTTTTATCTACAGTTATTTTATGCTGACTTAAAAATACGGAGCGCTTCATGAGTGTGTGTGCCACCCTTGCACAGGGGCCATGCTGATCTTCTCTGTAGCGTTCCAATTTTAGTATATGTGCTGCCGAGGCGGGCACTGTTGTTTTGTTTTGTTTTTAATTTGCCAGAGGGTGCAGGAGCTCACAGGAGTGGAAGGGGAGAGAGAGAGAGAGAGAGAGAGAGGGAGAGTGAGAGAGGGAGGAGAAAGCACCCTCACCACGGGAAATGACCATGCTGTAATTCTTTCTCCTCCATCTCTTCCTCCTTTCAAGATTTTGGGCACACACACCCAGCATCTCTCAAGCAGCCAGATCTAGGACTCGAATCACAAACTCAGCCATGTGGGGTCCAGCTGCCTTAACCACCAGGCTGGCCTTTCTGGCTAATCATTTTGTTTGTTTTGTTTTGTTTTGCTATAGGATATGAGCGCTTGCCAGAGAGAGACAGAAAGAGAGAGAGGGGAAGCGAGAAATCACCCCCGGGGGGATGGCCATTCCACAATCCCTTCTCCTCCATTCTCCTCTTGGGATCTTGGGCACGCACGCACATGCGCCCAGCCCATTTCAAGCCGTCCAGTCCAGGACTCGAACTGCAGCTAGCCACGCAGGAGTCACCTTCTGGCCTAATTATTATTATTTTTATTAAACTTGCTATAGGGCATATGTATTCATCAGAGAGAGACAGAGAGAGAGGGAAAATGAGAAAGCAAGCTGTAGGTCCAGGACTCCAACCATGATCGGCCATGTGGGAGTCCAGAGCCTTAATCACACCACCTGCTGGCCCGTTGGTGTGATTTTTCAGGTCCAGGACTCAAACTGTGCAGCCAGCCATGTGAGATCCAGCGTCTTAAACTCCATGCCACCTGCTGGCCTCATCTTTGTCTTTTTTTTTTTTTTTTTTTTTTTTTTTTTTTTTTTTTAAGTTATTCCTTTATTCCATGAGCGAGAGAGACTGAAACAGCAACCCCAACAAGGCCTTGACCCCTCACAACTCACCCTCAGTCTCAGTCCTGGATTGTGGGTCCATGTGTGCCCAGCTATGCAGGGAGGTCTGAGGGCGGGAACCTGGGACCCTTCCATGTCGGTCTGTCTCACAGAGAGATGAATCTTAGTCCATTTTAGCCACTGTCTGGCCCCTAAATTTCCCGTTTTGTCTTGTTTATTTTATTTAATTTTATTTATTCATTTATTTATTTTAATTTGACCAGAGAGAGACACACAGAGAGAAAGAGACAGAGTGAAAGTGAGAAAGCAAGCCACCAGGTCTGGGATTCGAACCGTGATAGGCTATATGGGAATGTCCAGTGCCTTAACCAGCACACCACCTGCTGGTCCTGTTTTGTTTATTTTAAAATGCTGACTAGCATCTCATTGCATATGTAAACTGTACTTTAATTTCTTATAGGCAGACTGACAGGGTTTTTAAAAATTATTTTATTTATTTATTTATTCACATGAGTTTTGCCAGAGAGAGAGCAAGCTGCCAGGTTTGGGACTCGAACTGTGGTCAGCCATGTGGGAATTCCAGCACCTTCACCACCATGCCACCAGCTGGCCCCTGTAAACTATACTCTTTAGGACCGTTAGTCTGCAGGTGGACACTGGGGCTGGCTCTCACTCTGCTGCCGTGAATAAGCTGCCGTGAACACGGGAGCACAGGCGTCTCTTGGACATGCTGATTTCAGTTTATCTGGCTGTGTGGCCAGTGGTGAGGTCACTGGATCAGACAATAGTTCTCTCTGGGCTTTGTGAGACTGTCCGCCCTACTCTGCATCATACAGACCAAGCGTCATACAATGTGGATGTCATACAATTCACATACGGTGTGAGTGGAGGGGAGCAGGACTCTCTGGGCCCTCTTGCTGCCTATTGTAGAGGGGCCGGGCCTGAAGTAGAGCTAGGCCACAGGCGGGGAGGGCCTCTCTGGGCTCCTCCATCCAAGCCCTCCCTTGACCTGACAGCCTCCCTATTGTCTTCTACCCAGACATTCTAGAGGCTAAAGGAGGCCAAGGGCCTTGGCAATTCCAGGGTCAGACAGGAGGCCCTACTGTGTGCATTCATACGGTGGTCACGCTTGCCAGGGCCACCCGCTCTGACCAGTCTTCTCAGCTCCCTGGGGCAGGGGGTGGCACACAGGCCCAGAAAGCCCCCGCACGCTTCCCCCACCGGGCAGAAGCGTGAGGGTTCGGGCGTGGGGCCCTGCTGCCGTCCTTGCAAAGCAGAAGAGTGAGGCTCGTAGGTCCCCCACTCAGGCCCACCCCACAGTAGGTGTTCTCCCTTTGAAGGGAACAGGGTCGGGTTGATGACAGGTTCTGTCTTCTCCACTCTGTGGCTGGCCGTTTCTCCAAGGGGCTGCAGGTGTCAGCTGGCTGGGTTCTGAGGTGCCCTCCTCAAACCTCCCCGGGTGAAGCCCAGGACCCACTCTCTGAGAGCTGCAGAAAATAGTCATGGAGCTAGGGAGCACGTGCTGGGTAGAAATGGGGTCACTTTGGTAGACTGCAGGCTGAGAAGCCCGACACCCCTCCCCCACCCACTGCCAGGCCCTGCCCCCAGCCCCCTTGCAGAGCAGCAGCAGTGCAGCTGCAGAAGTTTCTGGTAAGGAGGCCACCGCAAGGTTGCACCTGGAGCTTCCAACTTCCCACTGCACTGGCTGGCCCCCGCCCCTCCGCCCTCCCCCAC